TGAGGCGGCCTTTCCTCACTTTGCCTGACCCTGACGCGGCCTTTCCTCACTTTGCCCGACCCTGACGCGGCCTTTCCTCACTTTGCCCGACCCTGACGCGGCCTTTCCTCACTTTGCCCTGACCCTGACGCGGCCTTTCCTCACTTTGCCTGACCCTGACGCGGCCTTTCCTCACTTTGCCCTGACCCTGACGCGGCCTTTCCTCACTTTGCCCTGACCCTGACGCGGCCTTTCCTCACTTTGCCCTGACCCTGACGCGGCCTTTCCTCACTTTGCCTGACCCTGACGCGGCCTTTCCTCACTTTGCCCTGACCCTGACACGGCCTTTCCTCACTTTGCCCTGACCCTGACGCGGCCTTTCCTCACTTTGCCCTGACCCTGACGCGGCCTTTCCTCACTTTGCCCGACCCTGACGCGGCCTTTCCTCACTTTGCCCTGACCCTGAGGCCTTTCCTCTCTTTGCCCGACCCTGACGCGGCCTTTCCTCACTTTGCCCGACCCTGACGCGGCCTTTCCTCACTTTGCCCTGACCCTGACACGGCCTTTCCTCACTTTGCCCTGACCCTGACGCGGCCTTTCCTCACTTTGCCCTGACCCTGACGCGGCCTTTCCTCACTTTGCCCTGACCCTGATGCGGCCTTTCCTCACTTTCCCGCCAAGAGGGTGGGTGTAGGACCGCCCCGTGTCCGCCCCGCCCTGACGTGGCCTTTCCTCACTTTGCCCGACCCTGACACGGCCTTTCCTCACTTTGCCCGACCCTGACGCGGCCTTTCCTCACTTTGCCCGACCCTGACGCGGCCTTTCCTCACTTTGCCCGACCCTGACGCGGCCTTTCCTCACTTTGCCCTGACCCTGACACGGCCTTTCCTCACTTTGCCCTGACCCTGACACGGCCTTTCCTCACTTTGCCCGACCCTGACGCGGCCTTTCCTCACTTTGCCCGACCCTGACGCGGCCTTTCCTCACTTTGCCCGACCCTGACGCGGCCTTTCCTCACTTTGCCCTGACCCTGACGCGGCCTTTCCTCACTTTGCCTGACCCTGACGCGGCCTTTCCTCACTTTGCCCTGACCCTGACGCGGCCTTTCCTCACTTTGCCCTGACCCTGACGCGGCCTTTCCTCACTTTGCCCGACCCTGACGCGGCCTTTCCTCACTTTGCCCGACCCTGAGGCGGCCTTTCCTCACTTTGCCCGACCCTGACGCGGCCTTTCCTCACTTTGCCCTGACCCTGACACGGCCTTTCCTCACTTTGCCCTGACCCTGACGCGGCCTTTCCTCACTTTGCCCCGCCCTGACGTGGCCTTTCCTCACTTTGCCCGACCCTGACGCGGCCTTTCCTCACTTTCCCGCCAAGAGGGTGGGTGTAGGACCGCCCCGTGTCCGCCCCGCCCTGACGCGGCCTTTCCTCACTTTGCCCGACCCTGACGCGGCCTTTCCTCACTTTGCCCTGACCCTGACACGGCCTTTCCTCACTTTGCCCTGACCCTGACACGGCCTTTCCTCACTTTGCCCGACCCTGACGCGGCCTTTCCTCACTTTGCCCGACCCTGACGCGGCCTTTCCTCACTTTGCCCGACCCTGACGCGGCCTTTCCTCACTTTGCCCTGACCCTGACGCGGCCTTTCCTCACTTTGCCTGACCCTGACGCGGCCTTTCCTCACTTTGCCCTGACCCTGACGCGGCCTTTCCTCACTTTGCCCGACCCTGACGCGGCCTTTCCTCACTTTGCCCGACCCTGAGGCGGCCTTTCCTCACTTTGCCCGACCCTGACGCGGCCTTTCCTCACTTTGCCCTGACCCTGATGCGGCCTTTCCTCACTTTCCCGCCAAGAGGGTGGGTGTAGGACCGCCCCGTGTCCGCCCCGCCCTGACGTGGCCTTTCCTCACTTTGCCCGACCCTGACGCGGCCTTTCCTCACTTTCCCGCCAAGAGGGTGGGTGTAGGACCGCCCCGTGTCCGCCCCGCCCTGACGCGGCCTTTCCTCACTTTGCCCGACCCTGACGCGGCCTTTCCTCACTTTGCCCGACCCTGTCGCGGCCTTTCCTCACTTTGCCCGACCCTGACGCGGCCTTTCCTCACTTTGCCCTGACCCTGACGCGGCCTTTCCTCACTTTGCCCTGACCCTGACGCGGCCTTTCCTCACTTTGCCCTGACCCTGACGCGGCCTTTCCTCACTTTGCCCTGACCCTGACGCGGCCTTTCCTCACTTTCCCGCCAAGAGGGTGGGTGTAGGACCGCCCCATGTCTGCCCCGCCCTGACGTGGCCTTTCCTCACTTTGCCCGACCCTGACGCGGCCTTTCCTCACTTTGCCCGACCCTGACGCGGCCTTTCCTCACTTTGCCCGACCCTGACGCGGCCTTTCCTCACTTTGCCCTGACCCTGACGCGGCCTTTCCTCACTTTGCCCTGACCCTGACGCGGCCTTTCCTCACTTTGCCCTGACCCTGACGCGGCCTTTCCTCACTTTGCCCTGACCCTGACGCGGCCTTTCCTCACTTTGCCCGACCCTGATGCGGCCTTTCCTCACTTTGCCCGACCCTGACGCGGCCTTTCCTCACTTTGCCCTGACCCTGACGTGGCCTTTCCTCACTTTGCCCGACCCTGACGCGGCCTTTCCTCACTTTCCCGCCAAGAGGGTGGGTGTAGGACCGCCCCGTGTCCGCCCCGCCCTGACCCTGAGGCCTTTCCTCACTTTGCCCGACCCTGACGCGGCCTTTCCTCACTTTGCCCGACCCTGTCGCGGCCTTTCCTCACTTTGCCCGACCCTGACGCGGCCTTTCCTCACTTTGCCCTGACCCTGACGCGGCCTTTCCTCACTTTGCCCTGACCCTGACGCGGCCTTTCCTCACTTTGCCCTGACCCTGACGCGGCCTTTCCTCACTTTGCCCTGACCCTGACGCGGCCTTTCCTCACTTTCCCGCCAAGAGGGTGGGTGTAGGACCGCCCCATGTCTGCCCCGCCCTGACGTGGCCTTTCCTCACTTTGCCCGACCCTGACGCGGCCTTTCCTCACTTTGCCCGACCCTGACGCGGCCTTTCCTCACTTTGCCCGACCCTGACGCGGCCTTTCCTCACTTTGCCCTGACCCTGACGCGGCCTTTCCTCACTTTGCCCTGACCCTGACGCGGCCTTTCCTCACTTTGCCCGACCCTGACGCGGCCTTTCCTCACTTTGCCCGACCCTGACGCGGCCTTTCCTCACTTTGCCCGACCCTGACGCGGCCTTTCCTCACTTTGCCCTGACCCTGACACGGCCTTTCCTCACTTTGCCCTGACCCTGACGCGGCCTTTCCTCACTTTGCCCGACCCTGACGCGGCCTTTCCTCACTTTCCCGCCAAGAGGGTGGGTGTAGGACCGCCCCGTGTCCGCCCAGCCCTGAGGCGGCCTTTCCTCACTTTGCCTGACCCTGACGCGGCCTTTCCTCACTTTGCCCGACCCTGACGCGGCCTTTCCTCACTTTGCCCGACCCTGACGCGGCCTTTCCTCACTTTGCCCTGACCCTGACGCGGCCTTTCCTCACTTTGCCTGACCCTGACGCGGCCTTTCCTCACTTTGCCCTGACCCTGACGCGGCCTTTCCTCACTTTGCCCTGACCCTGACGCGGCCTTTCCTCACTTTGCCCTGACCCTGACGCGGCCTTTCCTCACTTTGCCTGACCCTGACGCGGCCTTTCCTCACTTTGCCCGACCCTGACGCGGCCTTTCCTCACTTTGCCCTGACCCTGAGGCCTTTCCTCTCTTTGCCCGACCCTGACGCGGCCTTTCCTCACTTTGCCCGACCCTGATGCGGCCTTTCCTCACTTTCCCGCCAAGAGGGTGGGTGTAGGACCGCCCCGTGTCCGCCCCGCCCTGACGTGGCCTTTCCTCACTTTGCCCGACCCTGACGCGGCCTTTCCTCACTTTCCCGCCAAGAGGGTGGGTGTAGGACCGCCCCGTGTCCGCCCCGCCCTGACGCGGCCTTTCCTCACTTTGCCCGACCCTGACGCGGCCTTTCCTCACTTTGCCCTGACCCTGACACGGCCTTTCCTCACTTTGCCCTGACCCTGACACGGCCTTTCCTCACTTTGCCCGACCCTGACGCGGCCTTTCCTCACTTTGCCCGACCCTGACGCGGCCTTTCCTCACTTTGCCCTGACCCTGACGCGGCCTTTCCTCACTTTGCCTGACCCTGACGCGGCCTTTCCTCACTTTGCCCTGACCCTGACGCGGCCTTTCCTCACTTTGCCCTGACCCTGACGCGGCCTTTCCTCACTTTGCCCGACCCTGACGCGGCCTTTCCTCACTTTGCCCGACCCTGAGGCGGCCTTTCCTCACTTTGCCCGACCCTGAGGCGGCCTTTCCTCACTTTGCCCGACCCTGACGCGGCCTTTCCTCACTTTGCCCTGACCCTGACACGGCCTTTCCTCACTTTGCCCTGACCCTGACGCGGCCTTTCCTCACTTTGCCCCGCCCTGACGTGGCCTTTCCTCACTTTGCCCGACCCTGACGCGGCCTTTCCTCACTTTCCCGCCAAGAGGGTGGGTGTAGGACCGCCCCGTGTCCGCCCCGCCCTGACCCTGAGGCCTTTCCTCACTTTGCCCGACCCTGACGCGGCCTTTCCTCACTTTGCCCGACCCTGTCGCGGCCTTTCCTCACTTTGCCCGACCCTGACGCGGCCTTTCCTCACTTTGCCCTGACCCTGACGCGGCCTTTCCTCACTTTGCCCTGACCCTGACGCGGCCTTTCCTCACTTTCCCGCCAAGAGGGTGGGTGTAGGACCGCCCCATGTCTGCCCCGCCCTGACGTGGCCTTTCCTCACTTTGCCCGACCCTGACGCGGCCTTTCCTCACTTTCCCGCCAAGAGGGTGGGTGTAGGACCGCCCCGTGTCCGACCCGCCCTGACGCGGCCTTTCCTCACTTTCCCGCCAAGAGGGTGGGTGTAGGACCGCCCCGTGTCCGCCCCGCCCTGACGCGGCCTTTCCTCACTTTGCCCACGGGGCCCTTTCCTTCCCCGCCTCCTTACCTGACAGTGGGGGTTGGGATCGCCCTCCTCACAGTACATGATGGGAACCAACCCCGGGAGGTAGAAGGCATCACCGGTGGGGGCGGCCAACAGCCACAGCCACAGAAGCCACCTTAGCCCAGGGAGGGCCAGGCACACTTTGGTTCCCAAATGGAAGCCGCCAGCACCCATCTTAACTGCTGCCTCAAGGGCAAGCATCCTCAGATGAGACGCCAACGACCAGAGTCCCGACTATTCACCAGTAACTGGGGGGCGCGACTGCTTTGCCAGGAGAACACTCCACAAACAGCCGTTAGCCGCTAGCGCAGGACCTTTGTAACAGATCACGTGGCAGTGGCAGTTAGTGAGCAGACGCACTGCGCATGCGCATGCCCGCGTGGCTCATAGGCTGTCACGCCCAACTTTCCCGCCATTTTAGCCACGTGCCGCGCTCCTTTTAGCCACGTGTTCAGCCACGTGTCAAGCTCTGCCTCGCAGTCAGCTGCACAGAGGCGGCGTGGCAGCGAGGTGGAGCGAGGCTGGGGGCGGTAGTCCATCTTAGGGGTTTCAAGCCTACAAGTGTGGCTTCCGATGTGCTTTCTAAGACGCAAACTATGCTGCGTAAGTGGCTTAGTGAGTGAGGACTGACTGGAGCTTGATGTTCACAACCAACACAGTGGAAGAGGAGAACTAACGCCCCCTCCACGTTCTCACACCCCCAGAAGTGGGCCTTACCATAGCACATATCCCCTACCGAAACAAATAAATAAATGTCATGAAAACGTAAAAAAGAAGCCGGGCAGTGGTGGCGCACGCCTTTAATTCCAGCACTCGGGAGGCAGAGGCAGGCGGATCTCTGTGAGTTCGAGGCCGGGCTGGACCGATAGCCTCCAAAACAATACAGAGAAACCCTGTCTCGTAAAAAAAAAAAAAAAAAAAAAAAAACGCAAAAAAATAATCTTAACAATACTAACATTGCACCCCTATCTTTTCTGGCAGCAGAGCTCGGAGACATGCACAGAGAGGGGGTGTGGGGCTGTGTATGAGGATTTCAGGGCCGTGTGGTCCAAGCATACACGTAGACCTTTACTCCCAGCACTGTGACGACTAAGGCGGGTGGATCGCTGTGAGTTTGAAGCCACCCAGGACTAGCTAAATAATTCCAGGCCCCCAAGGACTACACAATAAAAGTACCTCTCAGAAGGAGGGGCTATCAATCACAAGTACTTTGATTTTAAATAGCTTTCCTTGTTATGGGGCAATAAATAAAACAATGCGAGATTTTTTTGTTTTGTTTAAAATTATTTTACCTATTATTTTTAAATATGGCTACCAAAATGGGGATATTTTATTTTATTTGACTCCGTAGCTATGACTGGCCTGCAGCTTGCTATATAGACCACGGTGGTCTAGAACTCACAGAGATCAGCCTTCTCCTGCCCCCCACTGAACTCACAGAAAGCTGAGTTTTTCTGCCTACTGGGAGTATTAAAGGCATATACCACTGTGCCCTGCCTCAAAAGGTTTTTTTTCCTTCCTTCCTTCCTTTCTTTTTTCTTAAGACAGCCTCACCCTTTCTCGAAAACACCAAAAAAAAAACCCAAAAAAACAAAACAAAAAGATAATCTCATTATATATCCCTGGTTAGCCTGGAACTCACTATGTAGACCAGGCTAGTGCCAAATTCACAGAAATCACCTGCCTCTGGTCCAACAGAAACCCTGAATATGTTTTTTTCTGGGTTTTGAGACAAGAGCTAAGTTGCCCAGGCTGGCCTTGAATTTACCCTGTAGCTTACGTAGGCATTGAAATTGTGGTCCCCTTGCCTCAGCCTCCTAACTTGGTTTACAGGTCTATGCAACTTGGCCTGGCCTATACTATACTATAAAATGGGGGCTGTTTTCTTTTCATTTTTCTTTCTTTTTTGTCTATTTGTTTGATCCACGTTGTTACAATGTAGACCAGGCTGGATTAAAGGCATGCACCTCTGTACAGACCTTGGTTTTCTTTTGAATCTGTATGTCTTTGTATTTCTTTTTCTTCTTCTGTTGGCCTGGTTAGGAATTTCCAATAGAATATTGAACAGAAATGCAGAGGATGGATTTCCTGGTCTTCTTTCCCACATTTGGGGGGATAGGGTTCAGTCTTCCATTACTGAATATTGATATTAACTGTATTTTTTCATAGAGCTCTTTAATGGGTTAAGAAGTTTACAACCCTTTCTAGTTCACTGAGAATCATCTTTCTCTTGCCATGAGAAAATACCTGAAATAAACAACCTAAAGGAGGAAAAATTTATTTGGGCTCATTCTTTCAGAGGTTCAAGGCCTACCTGCTCACTTAGTGTTTTCGTTTCTATCTTTTAGGAGTATGGGTGCTTTGTCTGTGTGTATGTGTGAGTACCGATTGTATACACTGCCTGTGGAGGCTAGAAGAGGTATTGAATCTCCTGGAACTGGCATTAGATACAGTTGTAAGCTGCTGGTGTTGGGAACTGAACCCACGTCCTCTGGAAGAGCAGCCAGTGCCATTAACCACTGAACCATCTCTCAATCTCCATGTCCCATGTTTTAATTTCTTGAGGTATTGTCTTAATTACTTTTGGGAGGTTGAGACAGGGGTTTTTCTGTAGTTGTGGAGCCTGTCCTGAAACTCTGTCTGTTAATTTGACAGTGGATGATTCATTATTGTATCTTGTACATGAAGTACCCCCTTTCCAAGTGCCTATATTTCCAGAACTCAGGAAGTGGAGGCAGGAGGGTCAGGAGTTCAAGGATGGAAGAAGTATATAGGTCACGAGACATCCATTGTCTCCTGTGAATTTTCCAGTGTCCATTTTTCCAATGCAAGGTTGTAATTGGTATCTCCATTTCATGTGAAGTAAATGATGCCAGGAGAGGAAAAATTAATTGGTGCTAGGCAACCCAGCTCTAAGAAAAGGAGAAGTGAGTCAGTCATGGACCATGCCAGTCATCCCAGCAGGAGGCAGGAGCATCAGAAATACAGACTAGCCTGGGCTAGACAGCAAGTTTGAGGCCAATCTGAGCTACATGAGACTGTGTCAAAAACAATCAAAGGGAAATTAACCTAATGCTAATATTGATACTGATAAACAAAAGAAAAAAAGAGGAGACCAGAAAGAAGGTCTGGTGCTTAATATAGTTATGAAATTTAATGGTAGAAAAGGGAAATGCGAAGTGTGTAGCAGTACAAAAATAGCCTGATATATCTGCTAAATTTCAATCTATATCAATTGAGAATGATTAAAATATAAACAACCCAAAGGTTGCATGAAACCTGTGAACTCGAGGGAAGAGATCGTGATGATACCTGGGGTGGTTCGAATGAGAATCATCCCCAGAGGCTCATGTATTTGATGGAAATGTTTGGAAAGATTAGGAGATTTGGCCTTGTTGGAGACGTTGTGCCACTGGGGCTGGCTGGCTGGCCATTGGGCTCTCAAAGGCCCACAGCATTCCCAGTTATTGCTCTCCAGTACCACCCCTCTCTCTTCTTTCTCTCTGACTTGTGGTTGTCTCAGGATACGAACTCTCAGCTACTGTTCCATTGCCATGCCTCATGCCTGCCTGCTGCTACGCTCTTTTGCCAGATGGCCACATTCTAATCATCTTGGAACCATGAGCTCCAATTAAATGTTTTCTTTTATACATTGCCTTGGTCATGGTATTTTGTCATGTCAACAGAAAAGTAACTGAGATGACAGGCGGTGGTGGGACATGCCATTAATCCTAGCACTTGGGAGGCAGAAGCAGGCAGATTTCTGTGAGTTTGAGACCAGACTGGTCTGCAAAGAAAGTTTCAGGACGGGCTTCAAAGCTACAGAGAAACCCTGTATAGAAAAACAAAACAAAACAACAAAGTAACTGAGACAATACCTCAAGAAATTAAAACATGGAGCTCAGTGGTTAAGGGCACTGGCTACTTTTCCAAAGGACATGCGTTCCGTTCTCAGCACCAGCAGCTCTCAACTATATCTAACTCCAGTTCCAGGAGATTTAATGCCTCTTCTGGCCTCCATAGGCAGTGTACACACTCAGTATTCACACATACACGCAGACAAAACACCACCCATACTCCTAAAAGATAGAAATTAAAACACAATATTTGTGATACGTGGTGATCACAAACAAGGGTGTTCTGGTCACATTAAAGAAAACAAATAACTATATTAGCGCAGTGACTAGATCTTAAACAGTTAGTTTTCTAAGTTTCTAACCACATAAGACTATATGTATCCGACAGTTCCTTGGGTACATGCCCATTTCAAGTACTGAGACACAGAAGTGCTGTGATGCATGGGATCATGCTGTATTCCAGCCATGTTCTTAAATCAGCACCATAGAGTGTCACAACAGGAACAAGGGTGCCATATAGAGCGAGCACCGTTTCCAGAGGACACACGCTGTCTTTCATATGTGCTAATACCGCCACACTACGTAATCTCTGGGGCTTCCAGTCTTGGCTTTTAAACAGATTAACTCAAATCAGATCAGTCCTCTTTAGAGCACTCTACTGACTGGGCCTGGTAGTACAATCATGTAAGACCAGCTACTCAGGAAACTGATGCAGGAGGATAGAAAAATCAAGGAGGAAGCCCAGACAACTCAGACCCTGTATCAAAAGAAGAAAATATAAAAGGGAGCTGAAAAAAAGGGCCAGCAATAGAATGCTTGGCTAGCATATGCTGAACACAGGCTGTGAGGACACTTTGTGGTGAGAAACTGAGGTGTGTGAGTTAGTAGCCAGGACAGAAACTGAAAGCTCAGCTCTGTTTATGATTTGGAGCATGAGCTCATATATATGCATATATATTTATAACATGTATATATAATCAAAAGGATAGTAGTGCAGTCATATTCTGGGTGATCTATCCCCTGTTTCTGTGAGACCAGGGGCCAGATAGTGTCCTACTGAGAGGAGAGGAGATGGAGAAATTGGCCTCTATCATCACCGTTCTCTTTAAGGCAGTGGCAGTAGGTCATGAGCCCACAGACTCAGAAAGAACAAGTGTCTAGTGCGTCTCCAGGGCTAAGCATATTCTAGGGGTACAGCTAAGATGCCTGGCTAGGTGGGATCCTGGATGACCAGCGGGGTTACGCTCACTCATTATTCATTAATTCTTTTACTAATGTGCAGAGTACTAGCTGTTGACACTGGAGCTGACTATACTTTAGTTCATGGAAATCTAACTTGCTTTCCCTGGCCAACCACATATGTAGGCAAGTATGGTGGTCATATGGTCAAGCCAAACTCAGTGACTTATTTTGGGTATCTGTCACTTGACCTCTAGCTATATA